TAAAATAATTCTAAAGAACTTTTTTGGACTTTCTCATATTGTTGTTTATTAATATAATATTTCATATAGAAGATACCGAATATATACATGCATATATGTTGCGTGCAATACACTGAAAAAAGAATTTAGTAGTAAACACTAGAATTTAATAACAATTACTAAATGATTTGAGCAAATAGTTCTAATTAAATGTGTGGTAACAATTACAAAAAAAAATTAATTGAATAAATAAAATATTTAGTTTAGACTATTTAAATTTAATTCATTCAATTACAAATTTGATTCGTTTAACAAAACTTTAATAACTGTAATCAAACTTTGGTAGCAGAAAATAATATATTTAATAAGTATTATCAGATATTTAGTAATTTTAACTAAATCATGATAACGAGAAATTAAAAAATTAAAATTAAAATTAATTATAATCAAATTTTTTAATTATTATTTTTTTATAATTTATACTTGCATATTGCACTTTACATTTTAAACAGGTAATGAATTATTTTTATTTAACGGATTATTTTTGTTTATTTGCCGGATATTTACTTATCCGACTTATAAAATCAATTTAATATCTGAAACTCTTGTATTGAGAAATCAGTAACTAAATTGAACAATATATTTTTAATCTTATTTGTTACTCTTTGCAAGCTTTATATAATTCTCATAACTAAACTTAAATACGAGAAAGATAGCGCATTTCACGTCGATGAACGAACAAACTAACATATCCTTGCGTGCTTGCGTGAAACTTTACACGACTATCTTACCAAAATTTATTAATAATTACCAATTATTTTATCAAACATGTTGACCTAACTAAATCATTTAATAATAGTTATCAAATATCTAATAATCTTAAATTGAATGATTTAGTAATATTTACAACAATTTAATACATATTTAATAACAGTCATCAAAGATTTTATGATAAGTATTAAATGTTTAATAATTATTACTAAATTGTTTAATTGATTCAATTGCAGACAAAATTTGTTTGCAACTAGACCAATTGAAGATTTAGTAATTATTATAAAATATGGTAGTATTTATCAAATATTCAATTAAAATTCACAACTAAATATATTTGATAATTATTACCAATTAGTTTTTTCAGTGTATAAACCATAGTGGATCCATTTTAAACATTGATGCTCGATAGCATCTTTCAAACATCTTATCTACTCGCGATGAGCGTTGAGCGATAAGCTTGCGAGCCCGTAAACTCAGCGGTTCACACGTATGCAGGGGCCAAGGCGTGAAAATCTCGCACGCGCGTTGCCCTCCCTTCGGGGATCTTTTCGAGAAGACCGATTCAAGTGCGGGCGAATCCGTCCTAGTGTACGAACATAAAAATTTATATATTACGATATAGGAAACCGAGTTCTCCGTATTTTCATTGCTTTTCGAAAATCGATAATAGATCTACGTGAAGATCGAGTTTCTTCACGTGATGACATATATTGTCTATATTAATGAGACCGAGAGTTCACGTATCAAGAATACATAATAAAGTGCATTATAAAGAAATTGTGTGTGAATTATAACCCTCACACTATTGCAACCCAATATATGTATTAAAAATTAAAAACTTTTAACATTTCAAAAACTTTTTTATCTTTATTAGTTTTTATTTATTTTATATATTTTAATTTTCTTTTTAATTCATTTTATTTTCTAAAATATACGAAGCTTAAACCTAAAAATATATATGAAAAACATTTTTAATTTATTTCTTAAACATTTTTTTCAATTCTTTAACAATTAAATGCTGATTTATCAAAACTGATATAAATTTTCATTCATTTAGTTTATTTATCAAGAATTTATATTTATAAAAGTGACGGTAATGTCACAGATTCTTGACGTTATAACATGTACCGCATTTTAACGCCATACAAAGTACCATATTTTGACTTTTTTTTCTTAGCATAATAATGTGTATTTAATAGCGTTGTTGAATAAAGCAGATTGAGCAATTCGAGAGCATCATTAAACAAGTACAGCCATTCTAGTCTTCAGAGGAAACTCGGATTGATTTTATTGCTTTATTTGAAAACGCTGAAAAATGTAAATAAATGGTAAGAAAATAATTCGCTGAAAAATGTAAATAAATGATAAGAAAATAATTCACAAGTTTTATATTTGTTATCATTATTTTACTTAAACATAAATAAACTTACTTCTAATGTCATATCAACAAATAACGTTTTACGTTATCTGCGTTTTATGAAAATATATTTTGCCAATCAACTGTATTATAAAAGAATGTGTACATTTTTTGACAATAATTATATTCGATTGATATAGCTAATATTTTCACTGTGCACTAATTTAATGAACACTTGAATGATTAAGCAATATGAATCGTGCACAGACAAACGCATATGTCGAAAGAAAGAAAAATTGTGGACAAAGAAAATTTTTGTGAGTAAACAAAGTTTTGTATAGATTGTAAACAAATTATAAATAACCGCGATAGAACTTGAATAATCTCATCTTCGTTATAAGCTATATATATTTTAAATCTCTGTCAAATTATATATGCAATTAAGGAAATAAATTACAGGATTGAATTTATTTATAAATACTAACAGTAACATATAAATATATATTACATATATTTTTCAGTTCAATGTGGCAACAAATCATATGCGAAGTACGCACGTTTCTGTTCGCACGTTTCTCAAGTTGGAATAATATCTCTCTGTTAATTCCTGCATATATTTTTAGATGTACATGTATTTTTATTCATTATTCGTGTAAAAGTACTCATTTGGGTAAAATATACTCAATCCTTTCGAAGAAATAAGCGAAACTCGTCAAATAAAAGTGTATACATCCCCTTCCACTCTTACAGAGAAAAAAGAATAGCATTTTTTGTATGACATGGGAATGGCACCCAATTGATCCCGTCGTTAATTGCCTAATTCAAAATAGCACTCTGTAATTGGTTAATCATTGCTGGTTACCATAAACATAGATTGATATAATTGACTGTGGCACCGACGAGATACTATTAAAGACCAATGATCTTATGGGATTTAGCATGACCAGAAAGAAACGTGCAAAGTGCTGCTGTAAGTAATACAATCTTTACATTATCGATAATAAAATAATGATTTGATACATAATTTGTCATTTTTGAAACAGGTACATAAAAAATTTATACATCCTCGATAATAAAACAATAGTTGAATGACGTAAAATACCTGTATGATTTAAATAACTCTTGTAATGGTCTTCAATATAATCAAAACGGCCGGTAATATCATCAAAATTTTCCGAAGGCTGTCGGTCTTTAACAGTATCTCGTCGATGCTGTGGTCAATCGCAACCATCGACATATAGAATGGACTGCTGATGGAAGGGGAAGGGGAGCCGAGGAGTAGAGTGAGAGGCAGATAATATAAGGGCACGTTCCGTCTCTTTCTAATAAAGCCTGATTGATTGATAAATACTGCTGATTTTTTACCAAGCAATCAGGATTTATTAGAAAGAGACGGAACGTGACCTTATATTTTCTGGCGCTCACTCTACTCGTGAGGCTCGCCTTCCTCTTCCATCAGCAGTCCATTCTATAATATATATCGATGATCACAACGTAATCATACGAGACGCTCTCGCCACGTCGCTACATTGTGATCGTCATAAAATGGCAACAAGAGAGAAACAGTGAAAAACATAAGGTGCAGAGGAGTAGGTTTTTATCCATTTTCAATTATTTTTATTATCCTAAATGCATTTTGACTTGATCTTTCGGAGAAGAAAGTAATGAGTGCATTTCGAATGTATTCTGTTTGAGAGAATAAGAGAAAGAAAAGACATTTTTCAACCCCTGTCGACACAAAATCGCGTTTCTCATGTTGATCATGTCGATTTCATCGAAAAAATTTTCCTCCCCGGAAGATATAGACAAGAGAAATTTGGAAACAACTGAAAAAGAGTAAGTTCGATAACTTTGCTTTTCTCTCCCTTTTCACAAGTTACTGATGGGCGATGGCGCGATGTCGAAATAATAACAGATATCGGCAAGATAATAGATGAAAATAATTAAGAACCTTGTGATGAAGTACAATTAATTCAAATCAAATTGAATGAGGTAACTAAATTTAAAGTTATTAAATTGTTGGTAGTGAGATGCAAAAATATGAGAAGAGGATCTTGCAATGCGTTCTAGCGGAAAAGATATTCCCAATGGATCTTAAACATTGGTCGTTCTTTCATGTGCTAAAGACGGAATTTATCCGAGAAATCCACATGATTATGATATATCGTAAAATTTACCATTTTTCATTATATTGTCATTTTCGCTATGTAATATTGTTACGTGTATATATGTGTGTGTGTGTGTGTGTGTGTGTGTGTGTGTGTGTGTGTGTGTGTGTGTGTGTGTGTGTGGGGGGGGGGGTGTGGTGTGGTGGTGGTGGTGTGTGTGTGTGTGTGTGTGTGTGTGTGTGTGTGTGTGTGTGTGTGTGTGTGTGTGTGTGTGTGTGTATACACCAGAGAAAGATAGGGATGTATGTGGGAGGAGGTCGGACATGTCTTTATGCTCATTTGGTCAACGAGCGACAGAATCGATCCATTAAATGCAACGGCATTGATGCATATTTTGTAGAGAGAGCATTTTTCAGCCTAACGAGTAATTGCTAGAAAACAATATTCGCAGACTAGAAAAATATATGAGGCGCAAGTGGCTGGATCGGGAATCGAACCCGAGTCTTTCGCTTTCCGGGCAACTGCTATATGCGGCTCCAAAGCGATGTTGGCATCTCCCTCAATGGATGCAATGCCGATTGCCACGGAGGATTCCTGAAAGGTCGCTCGTTGACCAAATAAGTGCCGGTGCAGGTATTCGCGTACACGCTTGCTTCCGACTAGCTTTCCATATGAAAACGGCACCGACGAGCACAATGCCGTAGAGACCATATTCCCCAAGATCCCTTTAAAATATATATAATATATCATAATATTTTCAAGGTAATACAGCTATATTTCTGATGAAGGACAAGAATGTGTACAATTTACGTTATAATGAAGATGATTGTTCGAACACTAATGACAAACATATTGCTCCCGACTTAAAAAAGATAGAAGAATTGTGTGGAAAAAACATAAAGACTTTTGCTCACGGCTCGTATTTCGCCCTGGCACTTACAGAAGAAGGAGAAGTATATCAAAGAGTTTATATTCTTTGAATATGCTTTGATGGCATATTTGAGTTTCTGAGAGAATAAATAAATTTTAACTTGCTTGAAAGATAAGATTAATATAGAATAATGAGGTTTCATAGTTTTCTGAATTTGAGTTTTAAGCGTTTCTTAGGGGAAACAAATGGAAATGAAAACTATACCTATATACATATGTATGAAAACAAAATATACTATACAAAAATAAATTAATTAATTAATTAAAATTTTTATTAAATAAAGAAATTGCTTAGAAATACAGATATTTGTCCATAATAATTATTTTAACATACAAATATTTTCAAAATTAAGATATTTAAAATTAAAATTTATGTAACTTTTATTTTCTTAAGAAGAAAACAAATAGAAAAAAAAATGTCAAAATATCTTATTAACAAAGAAAAACAGAGATTGCAGCACATTTTTAATTCTTTATATTCGATGTGATTTTAAAAATTAAAGCTAATTACACACTCACATATACTTAGTTTCATAATACATTAAAAATGTGAGAAAACATCCACATTTTTCAGAAGTATGAAAATGGCCAATAATATAAATTTATTAAATAGAAAAGCATTTAGGGAGAAATAATATTAAACTTTATTATTAATCTCCTGTTAAATCTTCTTTAATAGTGCTTTCATACATAAATATAATATTATAAATATAAAATGAGATACCAAAAATCAAAAAATATATTACAACTGTACTATTTTTTAAAGGTTTACTTTTGGAAATTTGATAAATACAATTTCACTGAGAGAGGACCTGTCAAGTCCACACCTATTCGAGTCTCCGGCTTTAGCACGAAACGTATCGTGAACATTGCATGCGGCGATGTTCATTTTCTCGTTTTGACCACCGATGGAGAGGTAAGCATAAAATTAAGCTAATGATAACGATAATAATTATTCACTAAGCTAAACAATTGTTTGTTTTTTTAAATTAGGTGTATGCTTGGGAAGACAATATACGACAATATGTAAACATAACTACTTTCAATGGTATTGTGAGACAAGTAAAACATGGATTGGAGAAGAAGAATATTGTTCATATCGCATGTGGTAATCGATCCAACATAGCTGTAACTGATGAAAATATAATATATAATTGGGGCGATAATATGGACGGCCGGATTTCAATCCAACGGCAACATTATTATGAATACCCACGCAAAATTATCAGAATCTCGGATAAAATAGGTAAAATTTTTTAAAATTTATGTCTGCGATTTCACTTCTAAAAATGTTACATTATCGAATATCTTCATGAGAGATTGACGTTTTAGTTAAGGTAGTCTGTGGATGTGCTCATATGTTGGCGCTCACAAATAAAGGAAAGATCTATGCCTGGGGCAACGTTTATGGACAAGTGGGTGTAAATAACAACTTGATATCCTCTGATCCGATCGTGGTAAAACATGAATAAAAATCAAAAAAACTTTTTAATAATCGCCACGCGCTGAGAAACGAGAAATGATATAATAAAAAATGATACAATCAACAGGTGAACGTGCCTCAGATGGGAAAGGTTTTGAATCTTGACGCCTATGCTATTTAAATAATGATTTCAAACAGATTATAGTATAATTTCGTACAGGCAGAAGATATGCTGCTGATTTCATTACTGAACGAGTAACACCCGGCATATTAAGTATACCATGTTGCAAACATATCGCCGAAGATTTAATTTTCGATCCTATCAGTTTATATACACTTCCACACCCGTCGATTCCTGGTATAAGAAATATTTCACTCCCAGCAACTTTCCTCTCTGTAGCGAGTTTTACATAAATGTCTGAACTCAAGTCTGAATCGTTAAATTTTCGAGTCAATATTTTTAAACCGTCCAAATCATTTACATTAGCTTCCCGGTACATCTTTTCTTGTTGAGTTGTATTTGTCAGTTTTTTAAGTTTTGCAAAAGTGAGATTTCGAATATCTTGTGCCGTCAATAAAATATCAAATTCCCTCTCCAATGTCTGTTTATTCTCAACTGCCATCATTGAATCCATGCCTAGTTCAGCCAGTGACATATTTGGCGCCGCCATGTTTGGATTTTTCAATCCTGTTTTAAAAATTAGAGAAAGAATTAAATATTTACACATGATTTTAATCAGATCTTATCTAATCTTGAAACTGCAATGTGAGAATTATTAAAATTTATATTTTTTGCAATAAAAATTCAGCTGAGGCGGAATGCTCTCTCCACTTTCCGTTCGTGGCTCGAGGCTTCTATTAGGATCGGTAAATTCGGATTGTTGCTTGCTGTTGCTAGCGGAATCGGAATCTGGGGCCGTGATAATGCCGAGGACTCTTTTTATACTTCGGATAATTAGTCCCATGCCGGCGTAAAAACGGGATACCGAGCGGCGGAATAACGATACGGTACGAATCCACTCAATGGGACGCGGCGGAATCGTCGCGGGGTGTTTCACCCAAGGTACTTCGGACACCCTCAACTGTTGTCGGCGCGGCTTGCCGACAACAGTTCGGCTGTTAAACGGTTTGAACAATCCGTTGATCGGCGCGGCGCGGCGCGCCCCTGCCCCTGCACGGCGGTTGTTTTCCGGGCGGCACACAGTGGTCTGACGCACAAATTTAGACGGAACAAAATCAATTTTTTTATATCAATTAAAATATAATTTAAATTTATATTCTCATATCAAATACTCCAATTAAGGATAAAATCGGTAAAACATAATATAAAAAAAATATATAAACACAATAATAATGTAATAACGTACGAAAAATGTATTAAAATCATAGTAAAATTCATGACGGACACTATAGTTTTGTACAGTATTTTTGAATCGTACAATATTTATAATAAAAACATCAATATTTTTTAATATTAGTAGTTTATGTTAAGATTATTTTACTTGCGTATAAATATGTATTTATAATTTTTAATAACTTTTTAATAATATTTAAATCTTGAAGAATTAAGATTTAGGGTCATTTTTTATATATAAAGAGATATTACTAAAAATTAACACATTTTAACAACAAAATTCAAAAGGTCAGATAATGTATATACTTTGTAATTTGAAATCCCCTTTGTTTCGTTTGCATCCATTTGCCCCAGTAATTTCTGTAGCGTATTGAATATTTGAATCCAGTGGTCTGGCGCGTGAGTTTAGACGGAATAAATTAATATGAGCTATGTTTTCATAATATTATTGTACAGATTGACATTAATTTTAATTCTGAGACATATTATGTCTCGGAATTATGTATGAGACATAATATAGATAATTCCAAAGATCACACATCACCGCTCTCAGCTAAACCCAGAGTCACGATCTTTGGAATTATCTATATTATGTCTCATACATAATTCCGAGACATAATATGTCTCAGAATTAAAATTAATGTCAATCTGTACAATAATATTATAAAAACATAGCTCATATTAATTTATTCCGTCTAAACTCACGCGCCAGACCACTGGATTCAAATATTCAATACGCTACAGAAATTACTGGGGCAAATGGATGCAAACGAAACAAAGGGGATTTCAAATTACAAAGTATATACATTATCTGACCTTTTGAATTTTGTTGTTAAAATGTGTTAATTTTTAGTAATATCTCTTTATATATAAAAAATGACCCTAAATCTTAATTCTTCAAGATTTAAATATTATTAAAAAGTTATTAAAAATTATAAATACATATTTATACGCAAGTAAAATAATCTTAACATAAACTACTAATATTAAAAAATATTGATGTTTTTATTATAAATATTGTACGATTCAAAAATACTGTACAAAACTATAGTGTCCGTCATGAATTTTACTATGATTTTAATACATTTTTCGTACGTTATTACATTATTATTGTGTTTATATATTTTTTTTATATTATGTTTTACCGATTTTATCCTTAATTGGAGTATTTGATATGAGAATATAAATTTAAATTATATTTTAATTGATATAAAAAAATTGATTTTGTTCCGTCTAAATTTGTGCGTCAGACCACTGTGCGGCAGCTTGCGGCTGCTGTTCGGTCGGAAATAGAACGATACAACGGGGATGCATCGTTACATAATATTTAATTATATTATATATAAAATAAATTAATATAAAGCCATTATACATACAAAAAGTTTATGCGATTATTGAAAAAAATATTAGCAAAAAATTTTAAAGCATCTTGCAAAAATTAAATACCAAGTTATTTCATATACATAGGATCTAGAGAATGATGAAAATGCCCAAATATACATATATTCACATAAAAAATACATATTATATATAATAAACATAAATTAGAAAAATAATAATAAAAATTACCATAATATACCATAATATACCATGACAATATATCATAACAATAAAATATACTATGACAAAATAAAAATTAAGATAAACCTGAACCAATAAGTTTATGGTAAGATAAACCTGAACCAATAAAAAACAATGATATTGCTATTTGAATGTTTCAATTCCATATGGTAAGCTTCAGCTAATTTTATTATTTAACTTGCAATTTATTATTTAATTTTTCACTACTCAAAATGCGGTTAAATTATACATGTCATTAATGTCACATGTCATTAAAATCTCAGAGTATCGCTAACGCAATTTTCTATCGAGAGAAAAACTGTACGTTTTTTATTTTGTATTGTGTAGATGTGCGTTGATGACGGTGATGATAAAGCTCTTTCTTAAATAAAAATTTCTATATTTCGACTTTGCATCATGATATCTCTCCGTTTATAAATCACGCAGAACAAAAATAAAGATACTTTTTTTTATACAATTTAAACTCTCTCTATCAATTAAGCTTAAGAATTCAGCCCATTCAATCGTTATTAAGATTCGATAATTTGATGACTCTTAATCGGACTTAATCGATCGGACTTAATCGATAGTTTGAATTGCATAAAGAAAATTTATTTTTGTTCTGCGTGATCTAATGAATGATGCAAACTTGAAATATAGAAATTTTTATTTAAAAAAGATCTTTAGCATCACCGTCATCACTGCACATCTACACAATACGAAAAAAGAAAACATACAGTTTCTCTCTCGACAGAAGATTGCATTAGTGACACTCTGTGATTTTAATAGCATATGACATTAGTGACATGTATAATTTAACCGTATTTTGAGTAGTGACAGGTTAAATAATAGAGAGTGCAAATTAAATAATAAAATTAGCTGAATCTTAACATATGGAATGAAGACATTTAAATAGCAACATTATTGTTTGTTATTGGTTTAGGTTTATCTTTATTTCCTTTTATTGTTAGAATCATTGTAGAGAAAACGCGTACAGTTCTCTTTTCTTCATATTTTTATAATTTATAATAATAATTAAACTCTTGAAGGTCGCCAGTAAATAAAATACAAGAAGTAATTAAAAACGACCACACTGGCAAATTTTATTAAAGTGAATCACGACGTTTCGACCATGGTTTTGGTCCTTTTCGAGTGAACTACAACAAATTATTTCCAATATTACACAAAAAATAAATATAAATATTGTTTAAATTTTCAGTGTCCTTTTGTAAGTTGATCGTGTTGTCAGACTTTTTTTATAAAAAACATTTCCGCGATTTCTCTCTTTTTCACGTGTTTCTCATTATGTAAAATAACTGGTAATGACCAATCGAAGTCTTGATTAAATTTAACTTGATGTTTACTGATAACAGAAAAATTACTTTCGTGCACTTTTATGTTGTTACGATGTTCTTTTACACGAATGCTTACATGTCTTTTTGTTTGGCCAATATATGACTTGTTACAATTTTTGCAGTCTAATTTGTAAACGACTTCCGTCCTGTTATTAGTAGGCAGCCTGTCTTTATCACGTTTAATTAATGCTTTGAGTTTTTTAGGCACATTGTAGACGACATTAAGACCTACATTTTTAAAAACGCGACCAATTTCACTACTCAAGCCCTCCACAAACAGCAAGGAGATGTACGAGGATGTAACTGCATTGTCGGATTCATTGTCCATATTTGCGTTATCACGGTGTTTTAAAAAATATAATCTTTTTTGTACATAGCAAATTTAAACAATATTTATGATAGACTAATAAAGGTTGTTTAGTCTTTCTCTGTATGTTGATGGAGACGGTTGACATGACAATCTTGACGAAGTGATTTCCTTATTTCTCACGATAGAATAGTTAACTAAATTATTGTATGTATTTAACTTGCCGCGCATTTTTTATTTCAAAATCAATGTAATTTATTTTTTGTGTAATATTGGAAATAATTTGTTATAGTTCACTCGAAAAGGACCAAAACCATGGTCGAAACGTCGTGATTCACTTTAATAAAATTTGCCAGTGTGGTCGTTTTTAATTACTTCTTATAATTTATAATGCTTTGTTAATAAGTGATACTACTTCGTCATTGTTCATTATTGTGATATGAGTACCTTCCACGTAATGTATTTGTACTGCACTTTTGGTAACCTAAAAATATTTTTTATTTATAAAAATAATCTTAAAAATGACAAAATATTACGCTCTATAATCAAATTCACTTTACGTAGACCATAATCTTCTTCAGGAACAATGATAGGCGCACGTGTGGGTTTTAATAAGATTATAGATGATTTCAGACGTGGCAATGATGTTATATTATAATCTTGTATAGCGATTATATGATCGTAAATCGTTGAACATAAAAGTTTATGATTTTCAACCGTTAATTCAATGATATCCTTGGAAAAGCAAGCAGAAACTAATTCTAATTTCTCTTCCCACGTATTGCACTTATTTAGTTCTAATGCAAGCTGTAAATAATAATATTGCATAAATACAACAAAATGACAATCTGCACTTTAAACTGAGATAAAATAATATACTTATATTATATTATGTTATTTCATATAATCTAAATCACGTTAAAGAAACTTTACAAAACCTTTGTAATTTAAATTATATAAAATAATATAATAAAATAATCTAATAAAAAATTTAGCTTATTTTATAATTTTAAAGCACATTCTAACAAATTATTTCAAAATTTGTCCTCTTATTCTATTAACTATATACTATCCTATTAATTATACATATATATTTTTAATAATTGACTAACCGTTTTAATGTTAGAATCAAGATACAATTGGATTAAAAAAAGTAAAACATTATTTTGTATCTCTTGTTCTATAGTATGATAAAAAAATTTCTTAAGCAAGAATTTTATTTGATCAGGAGCTCCATCTATAAGTATTAAACGTCCAGAGAAATTCTCAGCTTCTAATAATCTCGCTAATTCAATGGCAATTAAAGATCCAAATGAATAACCGATAATTAGAAATTCTTTTCCACTTTGTATTTTCTCCAATACGTGCTGGAAAAATAAGCAAACATATAGAAAACTATATGTAAAAATGGCGCGTATGTATGCGCGTATGCGTATATATAATCAAATTAAGTGCATAACAGTTTATACTATTTAAATAATGATTTCAAACAGATTATAGTATAATTTCGTACAGGCAGAAGATATGCTGCTGATTTCATTACTGACGAAGTAACACCTGGCATATTAAGTACACCATGTTGCAAACATATCGCCGAAGATTTAATTTTCGATCCTATTAGTTTATATACACTTGCACACCCGTCGATTCCTGGTATAAGAAATATTTCACTCCCAGCAACTTTCCTCTCTGTAGCGAGTTTTACACAAATGTCTGGACTCAAGTCTGAATCGTTAAGTTTTCGAGTCAATATTTTTAAACTATCCAAATCATTTACATTAGCTTCTGTTACATCTTCTTGGTACATCTTTTCTTGTTCAGTTGTATTTGTTAATTTTCTAAGTTTTGCAAAAGTGAGATTTCGAATATCTTGTGCCGTCAATAAAATATCGAATTCCCTCTCCAATGTCTGTTTAATCTCCACTGCCATCATTGAATCCATGCCTAGTTCAGCCAGTGACATGTTTGACGCCGCCATGTTTGGATTCTTTAATCCTATTTTAAAAATTAGAGAAAGAATTAAATATTTACACATGATTTTAATCGGATCTTATCTAATCTTGAAACTGCAATATAAGAATTATTAAAATTTATATTTTTTGTAATAAAAACTTATTTTGTATAAGTCAATCTTTTAAATGATATATACTTAATGAATTTACCCATAATGTTTACAACTGCTTTAAATGGATTCGTTGCTTCGCCAGAACCTTTTTTTTTCTCAGCAACAACCATGCTGCTTACGATTGGCCGCTCTTGTAGCAAGAACACTTCTAATGTGTCCAAGCAGGAGGATATTCCTTGTTGCAATGTACCACCAATAACAAGTTCTTTATCGTCTTCTTGCATATCTGCGACAAGTCCAACATCACCAATCGCGCCCCACTGTATAGCCAAACCATGTAAATCATCTTTCATTCTTCTTTCACAAATTCTTTCCATTACGGAATTTGCCATTCCGTAATTTGTTTGGCCCGCGTTACCTCTTCCGCATGAAACGGAAGAAAAAACGACAAAATGTCGGAGCTTGGGACAAATTGTTCTCGATAATTTGTCCATCCTTTTCGTCGTCCATGCCTTTGATATAAAAGAATCTTTGAATGCTTGTGAGGACTGATTCTTTAATATGTCATCTTTCAACACAACTGCGAGATTGAATATAGCATCCACAGGACCTTGTTCTTCGGCAAATTTCAATATAAATTTACAGTCTTCGTATTTCGAAGTATCAGCAGCTGTAACGATTTGCACATTCACACCGTAAGATTGCCATAATGTTATTCTTGATTGCTGATAACCGTTTTTTATTCCAGTTCGCGAAGTCAATACTAAGTTTCTTGCGCCACGTAAAATTAACCAATCAGTTAATTCTAGACCAAAACCTCCCAGACCACCTATAACGATATAGCATTTGTGTTCCAGGCAATAGTACCGGGGATATGCAAGTATAGCTGCATCCAGTTCATTTTCTCTTTGAACTTTTATCATTATCTGTAAATAATATTATATTATATTTTAAACTGTCAGGAAAAGGAAATAAGAAGAATATATAAAAGATGAGAAGCTATTAGAAAAAACGAAGATTACAGATAAAAACCTGAGAATGAATAAATTGTGAAATAAAATGTAATTGTACAATAAAAAAAAATAGAAAAAAATTTAAAAGAATCGATAAGAAAACCTTTAAAAGAAGGAGAGTTTTTCCAAATAAACGTAAAGAGAAAAGAAGCACAATGGATAACTTTTACATATTATAATACATAGTTAAGAAGATATAATACACCAAAAAAAGCTGTTTAATTTTAAAATCTCTTGATTAAAATATTTACAGTGAAATGTTTACGTCCCAACTTTCAATATTAAGTTTTAATTTAAGGAAAATAGACAGAAATATTCTTAGCATAGAAATATTTGCGTTTCAAAATATAAACAGGAAACAAGAGAGATTTTGATTTATATTAAATATGATATAATTTATATTAAATAATTCTAATATTAAAGATAATACAATAAAAACAAAAATTGTATGCATTTTTTTGAAAATTTAATATTTCAATTTTAATTATATTTTCTTTATTGTACGTGCACTAAAAATGATCATACCTTTCCAATATGCTTTCCAGCAGCCATATATCTAAACGCAGTTTCTATTTCATGCTTTTCAAAAACTTTTCTGCATAACGGTTTGATGGCGCCATTCTTGAAGCCTTCTTTTAATTTATTCCACATTATTGCTTTACTCTCTGGTTCTGCAGAAAATAACTTATCCAATAAAATGCCATGAAAACTAATACCTTTTGAAAATGCAAATATTTCTAGAGGATTATTGGAAACCATATCAAACTTTCCAATCTCGAGAAAACGACCACCCTTTGCTAAGCAACGGACAGACGCTTGCAGTTTCTCTTCAGCTAAAGAATTTAATACGATATTTACTCCGCGACCTTTCGTTCCCTGAATAATCATTTGTTCAAAGCTCGTATCACGAGAGTTTCCGATGTGATCCTCGGGAATAGAGGGAAACGTTTTTCTTATAAAATCTCGTTTCTCGATACTCCCAACCGTCGTAAACACTTCGCAACCCTCGTAAATGGCAAGATGAATAGCAGCTTGACCAACACCTCCCGTACCAGAGTGAATCAACACTTTATCATCTTTTTTCATTTTACCAGTCAAATACAAAGCGTAATAACACGTGCTATATACACAAGGAACCGTCGCAGCGTCTTCCATCGTCCACATGTCAGGTATGATCCAACTAAGATATTTGTCAGTTATGAGAATATTTGTCATTCCTCTGAAAATAATATAATTTAGAAAATCATATAAAAATATATTATGTTAAAATTAAGTAAAAAAAATATTTTTTAAATATTTTTTGTGAATAATATGTAAAGATTAGGTAAAGAATGAAAAGAAGCATATAAGTATAGCAATTTTCTCATTTTTTACTTCATCGAAAACGTTTCTAATTTAAATATACAAAATTTATTTTATTAAGAATATACGTTTAGAGTATTCGTTTATTTTTATTAAGAATATACACATATTATTATAAGATTCTATTCACATACATATTAAGATTTTATCAAGTTTTTCTCTAATATTCACTTACCCTGTTGAACATAATCCCATTATTCTTTTCCCAGTTTTATTAAAACCAGCAAATTCCATTCCAATTAAAGAATTATTATTTCGTTCGGTTGTAATAGATTCAATGGTGAGTCTACCGCTAGCTATCATGACATCTCTAAAATTGATAGATGCATAGACTACTCTTACTAGATTTTCTTCATTATTGTTGACGAAAGATATCCTACTTTGCATCCAACAAAGAGTACTCAGATCACCTCGCACCTGAAATAAGTAAATATAACAAGTTATTTTAAACTTCTTAAAATTAAAGTAAAAAAAATTATTTCTTAATTTATTAAGGGAATTATCACTATTTTCCTAAATATAATAATCCGAATCTTCTTCAAATCGTACCATTTGAGAAACATAAGCACTCTCTACGAGTTTTGGTTCTAATAATGGTAATGGAAAATGTCTGTAAGATCCCCAAATACCGGAACGTATAACATTGATGGGTAAATCCAGCTGTAGCTGCGTCATGTATAACGATTCTTGCAATGAAAAAGCAAGTGCATTTTCATCTTGAATAAATACACTTCTAATCATTTCCCCATCCGATTCTTTTCGCAAACAATTGACAAAACCGAGCAGACCGCATTCGAAGTCTCCTTCTGCGACGATTATAATCCTCGTATTTATGTTGTCATTTTCCACGTTCATGATTGATTTAATTTTATTTACCCATGAGAATTCGCGATTGTTTACATACACAATCTGCTGAATCGTCTTAAAATCTTGTATTTTTCTTAATAATATAATTTTCTTATCGTTGGTGCATTTTTCCAAAATTACTTTTAATCCATAATTGTCCAGACATGAATAATCGTGAATAACATCTAACTCTTCCAATGTCAGAAGAAATCCCATTGGCATTACGGCAGACAATAATTGTTCGTATAAATCATTTCTATTTTTTGTTAAAATTCCGAAACCTATGATCATCAAACAATTTTCATTTTTTGTCAATTTATCAAATTCTATTATAGAAATACTGTCGGGCAAAGAAATATCTTTGAATCGTTCGTTACTCGTTACTATTTTGATATTGTAACATATTTGCGGTAAGTCGTCTAAAATTTTATAAACATGTAAAGAATTTAAATTCTCCGGCATCATTTCGTCGCTACTTTCGATAAATTCAATGATTTTTACGTTTATCAGGTTATGGCACTCAAGTGCAACGTGCACCGACATTCTTATTGCATCTTGCAAAGATGTCACATTGAAATCTCGATGAGCAACAAACTTGTATTCTTCAAAAACGGGATTGGCTACATTTTGTCGACGAGATATAGCTGTAGCTACGAGACCGTGTATTTCTATTCCTCCAGATATCAAAACATCTAAGTGCTTATAATTTTGTACAAGGACTTCTGCGGATATAAAGACAATAGCATATCAAGTATATATTTTTCGAAAAATAATATTCAATTAAATACGTATATAGTTCATAATACTGTAATACTTACGTTTTTTTTCATTTGAAAGTTTTTCAATATATTTTATGTGAGATTTTGGATCGATTACCGCTTTATGAATTTTTGTTGGTACAAAAAGGCTTCTCGAATCCTGCCCTAAAATCATCAACTGTAAGATATTGTCCATAAACGTTATCCAATTGTCATTCCAGGCAATATGACCATTCTTTCCTGTGATTGACGCGCTTCTTAATCCACAAAATTCGCCGGTATATTGATAACCATGAAGTTTCAATTCTTTGTAAATATCTTTTGTATTCATCTCCTCTTTGTCATTGTCATTTCGATCAACAAATGTGCTACATATTTTTTCGTCTTCAATATTGACTGGAATTCGTACTGTTCCAGTGACGACAGCACTCTCTCCTTCGATTATTTCAAATTTGCAACTATCTATAAGAGTACAATTATCAATTTCTTGTATAAATATTTAATTTATAAACGGAAATTGTACTCCATGTTTTATAACGAAATTCTATACTATGTGTTATAATGAGAGGATGTTTTTAACAAAAAATAAATTCCAGCCAGCCTTCAATCGTAGAAAAGAAATACCAATCATAGTACACAATTTGCAAATTAAATAAATAAAAATAAATTTTCATTTTAATGAAAAAGTTCCCATAGCATTATTATTGGTCAGATAAATGCTACTTCTGATATGCATTTGCATAAGAAACTTAGTTATATTGGGTAACCAATAATTTTAATGAATTAGAAAATTAACTTAGCTATGGTATCTTTAAATTGCAATCTTTCAAGCATAGATTTTTAACAATATATTAATTAAAATAGCAAAAATATAAATAAAAATGATATGTATAAAAATTAAATAAATCAACAAAATTAACAATATATTTTTTACTGTAAACTGTTAGCAGAAATTAAAATTTCTTGATTATGTTTACTTTTTCAGCAGAAACAAACTTAATGCAGTAATATATTGCAATTTTTGCTCGAATTTGCTGCTACTTCATTGGCAAACTGTTAATAGTTTGTTTATTAGATACAAATCTTTTCTTAATTTATTTTTTTCAATTGAATTTTTTTGCTTATTCACATTTTGTCTTAAAAAATTTTTATCTTTTTATATATCTATATCATAAAATTATTTTAATTGTACAAGTTACCTTTTTGTATCATAAGAGTTAAATCGATTGGATTTTGTTTCGACAGAACTGTAGAACGTAAAAAATTGACATTTTCAAATACAATTGGTACATCGAGATAATTTTGCTTTTCTAACCAGCCAATCATTTGCCATATCAGAAAAAGATATCCTGTAGCCGGTAATAAATTTTTTTTATTAACGACATGCCCAGTCAAATATGAAAATTCTTCCTCGAGTAAATTAATGGTAACAATTACTTCCCCAATATCAAGTTTTGTTTGTCTGAAATAATGACATACATACCAATCTTCGGAATGATCCCATCTGTAAAACGTGTTATTAATTTAAAAATATATAAATATTAGCCTTATTAGCGTTTAACGTCGTTAAAAATAATGCAAATTAATTTTCCGTCTTTTTAAATTCTGCTATTTTTTTGGTAATAAATATAACGTTGAAGGATCTTATGTTATATTAAGCAAAAATTTACCTTATAAGATGAGAAATCATCGGTGTATTACGACTCACAGGAAACTTAACTTGTGGATATAAATTTGCAATTTGTAGCTGTAATCCTGCATTATAAAGTTTTCCAATTGCGTGTAAGAATATCTCAACGTTTGGTTTGTGAGAAAATTCGTATAACGCGACATTTGTCACAGTTGCATTTAATGAATCATTAAGAATGTATTGTAGAATGTCGTGCGGCGCTATCTCAATCGTCACCGCGTCATTTGGAATAAAACGCATAGCTTCTGAAAATTCTACTGAAGTTAATAGGCTATTTGTATAATATTTTGCTAGATACGAAATATTTGGAGATATGCTGAACCATTCATAGGATTTGTCCAACATGTTCAACCACTTTGAGCTCGGAGAGGCTTCCTGAGGCAATATCTTATTCAGGTAATCCAAAAAGTTTAACTCTCGCAGGCTCGACGTAACGACTATGAAAAGGTATATGTCCAAAGGAAATTTCTTTTACAGAAATGTTGTCATTCTAAATAGAAATAAATTTCTTTTAATAAATTCATTTTTTATTTAATTCAACCTAATTATGAACATAGATATATTATTTGTACTTTTTAAGTCTTTCCGAACCTGTAGTTTAGCGAGGAATGCTCTTATAGAGCTTGTTGGTCCACTCACAATATAATTATGCGAACTATTACAACAAGCTACATCGATATCCGATGGACACATATCCTTTATAGTTTCTAAATTAATTTCTAAATCTAAATTAATTTCAGCCATCAAGCCACCTTTTATTTTTGACTCAAGAAATGCTAAACCGACATAATAAGCCAACATGATGGTTTTTTCGGCCGTCAAGCATCCATCGGCATATCCACAAACCAATTCGCCAATGGAATGACCCATTATTACATCAGGAGTGATACCAATACTTCTTAAAAGATCAACTATTCCGATCTGTAATATATGTAATTTTTTTTTATATATTTTAACACTTTCTATTTTTCTTTTAAATAAAATAATATTTAAAATATTACTATAAATTTAACTTTCTGCATACAATTATGTAACATATGAAAGGCTCTTTTTAATTTCAATTCTTTTACAAGAATTTTGAGTTTTTTATGAAATACTGATCATTTTAAAGATACGGCGTTTCATTAGATAATACAAAAAAATTCCGCAATATATAGACGATATATTTTTGTTCGTACCTGTAATCCAATAAGGCTTACAAATAAATTGACTACGTTATCAAGCATATTGTCGTTATTTAATAGAATCTCTGTGACAAATATCTTATAAGGTTTCAAAACAGTATCGCATTTTTGGATTGATTTAGCGAATACTGGAAATTCCATAAAGCTCGACCTATATACATATATGTATCAATATTTGAAAGAACATAATTATATATTAAATAACGTTGTCGATAAATTATTTTAAATAATGTAATATTTTTATACAGGGTGTCTGAAAACTTTTTGCGATCTCAAAGGAGCGATGATTGTGTAAGCGCGCGGCGAAGGCTTCTCCTCAATCATCGCTTCACCGCGCGCCGCCATTATGTTATAGTGAGACGCCTTCGCCGCCGCGCGCTTCTAGGCACGCGCATTGGCCAATTTTCTTTAAGTAATTTTTTCGTTATTTATTGCAAATATCGCCAAACAGTAGAGGCCTTTCTTCTTAATTTGAGCCAATCTATCTTTACACTTCGGGACCACCAAAAGTTTTCAGACATCCTGTATAAATAATATATACATATATATATATATATATATATATATATATATATACAGGGTGGGGCATTTATCTTGAGACAAGATAATATCTCAATTGGAGTCGATTATTTTGAAAAAAAGTTTTAGACAAAAGTTGTTATGTTTCAAGGGGGACATAAGATGGTGTTATTAGTTGATCTTAAAGAGCCATCTGAAGGACACGCGAAGGTCAGCTCCAACTTTTTAAATGGGACACCCTATATGCTTTTGCATATTCTTGTAGCTCATCTCAAGAGCTTTCCAAAACACTATAATTAAGTTAGTTTTCATTAAGTACTTTCCAAGTTATGAGGCTTGAAATCATTTTTTAATTTACATAAACCGAAAATATCTTGTAAAATCATTTTCTTTTACCCTATCTTAATACTTTTATGTATAAAATAAGGAGGGAATCAATTGGTGTAAAGAAAAGACATAGTTATTTTTTAAGAAAAAATATGTAATGTGTAATTGCAAGTTACATTTTTTTTTGAAAAACTATGAGTTTTTTCTACACACAATTGATTTTTCTAATTATTTTGTACATAAAAGTATTAAGGTAAAAAATAACGAAAAATGAATATTTTACAAGATATTTTACGGTTTATGTAAAATTAAAAAATGATTTCAAGCCTCATAACTTGGAAAATACTTAATGAAAACTAATTTAATTATAGTGTTTTGGAAAGCTCTTGAGATGAACTACAAGAATATGCAAAAAGCATATAGGGTGTCCATTTAAAAAGTTGGAGCTGACCTTCGCGTGTTCTTCAGGTGGCTCTTCAAGATCAACTAATGACACCATCTTATGTCCCCTTTGAAACCATACAACTTCTGTCTAAAACTTTTTCAAAATAATCGACTCCAATCGAGATATTATCTTGTCTCAAGATATAAATGCCCCCCCTGTATATATATATATATAATATGTATATGTATATATTATTATATATCATAATATAATAATATACACATTATATATATATATCAGGTTATACTACCATATATATATATATATATACTATTAATATAGTATTTATATTATATATATTATTATATATATATTATGAGAGATATAGTAACACTATATATAAGGGTGTCCGTAGATTTTCGACCAAAATGAAATAAATAAGTAGA